GCAGGGAAGACTCTATCTGTCCCCTTCTGAGAAAGGGACCCCTTCTAAATGCTCTGTTCACATCCATCCATTTGTCTTCCAAAAGCTACGTGAGATTTGGTAACCCCGCTTTGCAGGCGAAGAAGCTGAGGCAGAGAAGTGAGCTGCCGTGCCCAGGTCCAGGGACAGCCGGCCCTGACTGCTCTGTCTCACAGGCCTCGCTCTGTGCCCGCACCACACGCTGTTGCAATGACCAAATCTCCCACTGCTCCTGCTGTTACTTCCTGCTAATGCTCTAGGGACTTTACTTAGCTCACTTAATTTTTAAAAAAGAAAGAAAGAAAAGCCACATGAAATAAATGCTATTATTATACCCATTTTATAGCCTGGGACACAGAGAAGCTAAGTAATTTGCCTTAGGTCACACAGCTTAACCCAGTCAGGCTGATTCTGGAGCACCCACTCTTAATCGCCAGGAATGGGGAAAGGGAAAAGACCCACTTGAAGTAAGTCTGGGCTATTCCGAGGGCCGTGTCTACTTCCTGGGCGTATAAAGACCTGAAAGCTACAGAGGGCACAAGAGCACCAGATGAAGTTCTCTAATCAGAGACATTCTGATCGGGGTTGAAATGTGGCGGACGACATGGACCAGCAGCAAACTGCCAGCACTGCAGAGCAGCCCCTGGATCCTATCAGGCTCAGCCGGGACGGACGAGTTTATGTGAAAATGAGGAATAACTGAGAGCTTCGAGGTAGACCGCACGCTTATGATAAACATTTAAATATGGTATTAAGAGCTGTGGAAGAAAATGTGACTGCTGTAGAAATTGATGAAGAAATATAGGAGGAGTTGTGTAAATCAACAAAACAAAACATTGCATGCTTTTTGTCTGGGGATGTGGCGTACCTGTTGTCCCTCCATTGAGATTTGGCTGAAACAGGGAATTTACCTTGTATGGAAATAAGGAGACTCTGTATGATCGCATCTTGAAATGTAGGAGATATCCAAAAGAGAAATCTGCATACATTTTGATATTAAGAAAAGACCAAGGATTCTTCCACTCCTGAAATGAGTTGATTTGTACACAACTAACAAATTCTTAAGCTAAATGGCATTTTATCTTTCTTCAACCCTTTCAATAAATCAGATCAAGATGCTGCCCTCTTTTTTAAGAATTGATTTGCTCTGATTTTTTCAATTTCTGATTTTTTAAATTTAAATTAAATTTCATGTTTTCTCTTTTGATTTTTTTAAAGACACATGATCAATGCGTTGTAGTGCACAATTACAGCAAACATCATTTTTCTTGGTGTGGTTGCTGCGGCTTTGTGACTGTGGGTCAGCGTCCCTGGGTGGAGCCGACACGCCGCAGCCAGAGATACTCTTTTAGGCTGCTCCCCAAGCTGGCGTGAGGACCGCACGGAGACACGCAGATTCCTGGCGCCATTCCCAGATATTCCCATTCGGTGGGGCAGGGTGAGGCCCGGAAGGCGCCTGGTTAATCAGTGCCCCAGAGCACTGGGAGTGGACAGCTTTGCCAAACAGTGATTTGTAGAAGCCCAGCTCAGTTTAAATCCTAGAGCTGTTCCTAAAGACATTCATTGGGTCCTGCAGCTTTTCCTTCTTCCCCAAGTGACAAAGGTTCCAAAGTCAGGGGACGCAGGCTACAGGGTGGAACAAGGCAGCAAAGGTCTGGATCTTCCTCCCAGTGAAGGAGGGAGTGAGGGCAAACCCTTCAGGGTTCCCACTGCCACTCGCAGTTAGCCCGGGGCTGTGGTACCTGTGGGCAGGTCTAACATAATCACACTTCCAGGGGCTCTTGGGAGAGACCCTGCTCTGACGAATTTGCTAAATCACTGCTGCTAGGTCCTGGAAAAGAAAGCAACGCTGGGCTTGCGGGTCTTGTACTAGTACTGTTTGGCCAGGACCATCACATGCCAAGGCGGAAACAGCCGGGGCAGAGCAGCCGTGCCCACACTGCAGGGTGACTGTATAGCACAGTGCACGGCTCCGTGAGTGGCAGCTTCCACCCTGAGGGAGACTGCCATGTGCTTCTGCGGGTTGGGCTTGCCTGGCACCAGTCCTTGCCTTCCTCTGGTAATGCCACCCAGACTTTTCTAAGGAGAAACAACCCTTTTGCCATGTTTGGTGGATCCAGTGCAGGCTGGCTGACCCCACCCCCAGATCCAGGCATAGATGAGTGACATAGTCCTAGGCTGATCAGTGAATGTCACCTCTCTGGTCATGTGATACATTCATTCAGGGATGGGTCCAGGCTCAATTCCAGCTGGTGAGCCAAGGATCCAGGTTGTTCCTACTCAGTAGCGCCTCTCTTACCTCTCCACCCGGAGCTTTTTTGGCTGCTGCAGCCGTCTTGCCACTGTGAGGGGCACCTGCGGGAGAAGGAAGCCAATGGGAAGAAAGTAGATCTGAGGGAGGGAGGGAGGGAGGGAGAGCAGGACTGAATGGGCATCATTGTTTCAGGTCCAGTCTCAGCCAGGCCCGATCTACCCCAGGCGTTTCAGAAGACAATAACACCTTTTTTGTTTTGAGTCTGACTGAGTTGGGTTTCTATAATTCATAATAGAAAGAACACAAATAAAGTAAAAATATATACCTCATGCATCTGAGTTTTAAAAATAACCACTTTGTTGTTTGCTTATAAATAAGCGGGCCCTGCCAGGGAGCCCACCACAGGGGGACCCCTGGGGGAGGGGCGCTCCCCTAGGTTAGGATTCTCCAGTGTTCTTCCCCTTGCCTTGCAACCGTGACCTCAGAGCTGGGACCTGCCCCTTCTCTCTCTTCATTCCCCAGCTCTTCACCCTCAGCTCAGGTGGACAGGTTATAGTGGACCACCCTTAGTGACAGACGGGGGGACTGGATTAAATGATTCCTCCTATCCCCAGTGTTTATTACCATATTTTGCCTTGTATAATTCACACCCAATGTTTTTGTGTGCACTATACACTGGATTATTATACTCATTATATCCATGGTATAGAATCATTGTACCCATGTATAATGCACATCCTTATTTTTCCCTAAAAAATTTGGGCGAAAAAGTGCGCCTTATACACGGCAAATACAGTAGTCCTGATTCTTGGTCAAATTCCTGACATGAGCAGCACCTGGCTCCCCGGGAGAGTGACGCTGCAGCGCCCTGGAGGGTCCGGAACCCAGGATTGCCTGGTCTATCCACCCCACTCGGAGGGGTGGGGAAAGCCTCAAGAGTCCACAGACCTGGAAGAGATTTGGGCTGGAGTGACTTCAGCCCCGGCCTCTCTGTCAGCTGCCTGCACTGCTCTGAGAACAGTCTGGCGTGGGGCTGGCTCCTTCATGCCATTTAAGCCGTGCTGTGCCTACAGAGGCCCCAAGAAGCAGCTGCTCTGATCCAATCTGGTTACCACCTACAGGTCTAGGGGTCTCCTACCCTAAGGTCTTGCTTGGGGCATCCCCACTTGTCCCATGTTCCTCTGCCAGCACCCCTGGCCTCAGAAGCCCTGGCCTGTCCCCTCCAATGCTATTTGTCATTCTTTAGAGCAGTAAGCCAAAGACTGGCCTTTCCTTAGCAGCCAACAGCCTTGGGTGCAAACGGGCAGAGACCCTGACTGCACAGGTGGGAAGACGGCTTCCGGTGAGAAGCAGGGGTGGGGTGCGGCTGACCTCCAGACCCTGGTGTGCAGGTCTACTGAGGTGTCCTTGTCAGTAATAACCCCCTGGGACAAGACACAAATGGACCACATTCTTTTAGGTATTTCTTTGCTGCTGTTTCTTCTGGGCGGGGGGCACCTGACCCCGAAGAGGGACAATGACGTTGGAAGTGGTGAGGGGGTTGGTCTCCCCGCATGTAGAACACTTGCCTGCCTCCCCCACCACCTGCTGCCAACCCAGAGGGCATGCATTCAAAAGCCCCTCATTAGGCCTCTCTTTGCAGGCAAACAAATATCATTAATCTTGGTAAAGTGAGTGAAAGCACATTCACCTGTCCAAGCAAGAGAATTAATGTTGTGTCAATAGGAAATTAGTGTTTACCTCTGGCCTTTACATCTCCCCTTTGCTATGGAAAGCCCAGCCCAAATGTACAACCATTGTCAGAGGAGAGAAAAATACCCCCCTCCCCATATACAGGCGCAGGCCTGGGGGTGGGGAACTGGGGATGGGATGCCGGGGCACAGGGGCGGCCCTGGTGCAGGGAGAGGACAGGGGCCCTCCCAGGCCTCAGACCAGGTGGGTGACGACAGCAGAGCCTCGGGTCAGAGGTTCTCATTGGACCATGAGCCCTAGGGAGACATGCGCCCCCACCGCACGTGGTCACACAAAGGTGACAGGAGACCCCCTTTTCTTTCCGGATGCGTGGCCACGACCTCTCACGGCAGGCCAGCAGTGCACGCACAGAGCTGCACAGGCTGAGGGTGACGACGTCCCTGACACGGGCTGCTGTCCGTCCAGCGCCCACTGAGTGCCAGGCGCCATGCGTGACGACTGACAGGCATTCCCTACAAACCCTGCAGGGCACGTATCCTGCCTTTTCCTCAGATAAAGGAGACGCTGCAATGCATAAAATTTCAATAGGTTGGCTCACAGCCATACACAGGGAGGAGGTGGATTTGAACCCAGTCTGGCCCCACAGCCTTACACTTCCACACGAGGAAGGATCAGCACGTGAGGTCAAGTGTAAAGACAGGAAGTCTCCGAGAAAGCCCTTCTGAGTCATTCTCCGCTCCCCTCCACCCACCCGCAATGACTCCCAGGGGGAGAAGGTCAGGGAGAGGCAGGGCTGGGACGGCTAACTCAGAATGGGAGGGTGTGTGCGTGCCTGTGTGTCCCAGGAAAAGAAACCAAACAGGCCGATAAGGTCTCTTGTTTCCAGAGCAAAGCACCAATTAAACACAAGGCAGATGTGAGCAAATAAAGCTGTGGCGTCCAGAGAGAAAATCAATACTAGATTATATGTCCTAGCCCAATCACATACCAATTAATACAGAGCGGGTGGGGCTGAAGGCTGGGGGCAGGTGAGTCCGGCCTGAGAGCAGGCGCTGACCTGCCTGCCCCCAGCTTCCCCACAGTTCGGGCCCTCCTCTGGTCGGGGGGCTGCAGGCCCTGCCTCAAAGGGCCGGTGCCTGAGCTCTCTGGGGGAAACCTGTGTGAACGGCGAAGTGTGGGAGAAGGAGGATAAAAGGAGCTTCATCTCCGTCACGTTGGCAGCGGGGAGCTGAAGGCAGAAGGACGAGGTGGGGAGAGATGCTTTGGGAGGTTGGTACTCACTGGAAAGAAACAGACAACTCAGACCAGATGAACAGGCTGCTTGATATTTAATTTGCTGCAGAAAAAAAAAAAAAAAGCAAGGAGCTTGCTTTTAGAAAGTGACAAAAAATTAGGGAAAAATGGGAAAACTAGGGGAAAACATTCTACCCCAGAGAAATGATACGGGAGCCTTTGGTTATTCTGTTCATGCCTTATTTAATTTAGAAAGTACAGCTAAGAAGTTAATCACTAATTTTCAAGAGGCATGATAACATGGCACAGGACTGGGTGGCCATGGGGATGGAGTGGCCCAGAACCTTCCATGGTAGGGCTTTAGCCTCATCACTGGGGTGGCAGGGACGAGGCACTATGGCACGCAGCCACCTGCCAACAGGTACCAGGTTGAGCAGGCCTGTGACCCAGGGAGGCGGCTCTGCATCAGCAGGATCAGTCGGAAGCGCCCTTGTCCAGGGACAGGAAGCCTGGCTGTGGGAGCGAGGGCCCACACGGTCCAGGACAAGCACGCCCTTCCTCCAGAATTCCCAATACCCTCGGGGAAAGGGGACGCGATGTTGTTCGCGAAGCCGAGAACAAAAGTGGAAGGAAAGGCGGCAAATCGGTGACAAGAAGGGCACCCGCTTCTGTGTTTTTCCCACGGGAAGCCCCTCTGGCCAGATCCCTCCGGTGCCCTGCCTGCACCCGGACGCACGCCCTGGGCGCGGAGGCCCTTCTCAAGTGGGAGCTCTGTGGGCCAAGCACTGTTGCATGCCAAAGAAAAACGAAATTTGCTAGCCGAATATTTTTTAGACATTTTGCAAGATGCACGGCCTCCCTGACAATTTTTAATGTACTAACTGCCTGGTCCAGTGAGCTGATTAATTGGTGCTGGAGAGATCAATAAAAAACAGAAAATTAAAACAATTTTAAAGTGATTAAGTAGTTTAACACCTGTCTCCCGTCACGTCAGCGCAGGAAGAAAAATAAAGCAGGTGTCGAAGGGGCCTCCTGAAGCAAGAGAAAACAGCGCCTGCCTTGGAGAAATGACAAATCACAGCTGGTGGATCAATCTGAGTGCAAGCAGCCCTTCCTGGGCCCACTGCGGGAGCAGCAGGAAGCAGGGACCCCGAGATGCCGGCCACCTCCCCCCGCCACTCCTGGAGAGCTGCTCCTCAAGCCAAGGGAGGCAAGTGTGTGTCCAGACCCTGCAAACAGAGTGGGAGGGAGCAAGGTGAACCAAAGAACATCTTGGCCTAGAAGTCTGGATGGGATCAGATGGGAGAGCATCAGTTAACCTTCTTCTGACCTCATTTGCAGCCATTTGGAGCTGAGTCTGCAATATGTGGAGGGGCTCACATGCAATGAAAATGCACTTTGGGAGCTGTGGGGCCAACAGAAGGAAATAGTCATAGCTCTCTAGAATCATCGGGTCTTCCATTCTGGAAGCTTCAGGTCTCCACCCTTACTCCCAAGGGAGACAGAGCCTCTCAGCCTCCACCTCCCTTCAGCCTCCTGCAGCCTGGCTACACCTACAGGTGTTGCAGCACCGGCTGGATGATGGCCCGAACGCCCTTTAGACTCTTGGGGCAGCCTCACTCCCCTTGCTCCACCCCTCCACCAGCAGCTACCATGAAAGCTGCACAGCCAGTCACTCCTTTCCCACAGTTTCATGTACCTGACTCAGAATCACTGGAAGTGAACTCATAGAGCGCAAGAAACTCTAACTAAGATGATTCCAACTTCCCTACCAAAGGGCTAACAAAGTAGAACAAACAGGGGTAGGGGAAGTGACATGAGGGAGAATTAACAAAGGCTAGAGGTAAAGCCCCGCGTGAAACATTTCACGAAAGTCTCCTCTTTAACCTTGTAAGTGGACTTGAAATTTGCATGGGTCAAGTGCAGATCTACTTAATGTGACTCATGTTTTAGAAAGCTGTGCTGTCCTGTGGCTTCCCTGCCTGGGCACACCACTACACCACGCTGGGGTGGTGGCGGGGCTCAAGCCTTAGGTGCAAGATCTCCATGGGAAAAAAGCTCTCCGTGGGTCCTCGATCCACTTCCTGCACACTGGGACAGAGTGGGCAGAGCTCCAGAAACCCGTTAACACTCACCTGCTGGGCAGGCAATCACGAGTTTGCTTTCGGCTCTCCAGCTTCCTGTTGCCCTTCCAGGCCCCCTGATGCAGCAGCTTTCACCCCCAAGATGGGGACAGAAAAGGAACTCCAAGCAACAACACAGAAACCGGGCAGCAGGTCTAAAACATTATATTTTAAAATGCATTTCAACATTAAATAACATGAAATGTTGGACATTGAAGCCTCTCAGCTGGACTTACTAGCAATCCCCACTTAGAAAGCCCTCCTGTCACCCTAGATATGAATGGAAGTCACCGGCGGTGGCCTGAAAAAGGGCAGGGCCAAGGAGAAGGGGTTCCCACTCGCGCTGGCTTTCATAAATATTTTAATAGCCAGAGCTTTCCCTCTCTCAGACTTCCCTCGGGGAGTTCTGCTTCTGTAGCTACTGCTGGGCCACTCCGTATTCAGGTGTGGGGCCCTATCAGCCTCAACAAAAAGGCGTCAAAACCTTTACAACCCATTTTGTGCCAGTGACAGTCTCACAAAAAAGATTTTCAATCGGAGGCTGTTGGCTTGCTTCTTAAAATAATCCATACGGCCGAATTTCCACATGACAAAACACAGTCCATCTCTTGGCATTTCCTGCCCCAGGACGTCACTTTGGTGGCTTGGTCAGGACGGTTAAAGGCCCTGCAGTCCCACCTGTCTCACAGATCGCAAATTTCTGTTTGCCCAAGGCGCCATCACCAGGGTACACCTCTCAGCAGGGGGAGAGCTGGCCGGTGGACCCATCTACTGTCCAGGTAAGGCATGTGCTACCCAGAAGGCAACTGACGAGGCGGAGGTGGAGGGGCAGCCTGGGAACCTCACCCCTCTCCGAAGCAAACACAAAGTTCTTGACACGGCGCCCTCAGGCCTGCTGCCGCTCCCTGTAGAGCACGCCTCACACTGACGGAGATAAAGTTTCCCGGGGTCCAAGTTCCAAACTCGGCTGTTTTGTTTCTGTTAAAATGCAATTGTTTTTCTCTGGAGTGTGCGGTGACTGCTCAGCGTCAGGAAGATGTATGAAAACCTCCACTTCAATTCAGCATCCCTTTTCTCCCAGACAAACACGGTCGGATTTTAATAAATCAAAGAGCCACACTGTTTAATAAAAATTTATTGACTTACAAGTGATTATTTATCAAAAGACCATTAATAGCCGGTACTGAAATGATGTGTTACTGGGTGGTGCTGGGAGACTAATAGGAAATCAATGCAGCCGGCCAGCCAGAATGCATATGAGAAGCCCACCCCCCGACAGCTAGCGCAATTTCACCAGCAAAATACACCAGACGCTACCCCTGGTGCAATGAAAAGTTCCCCTTTTTTATTTATCGTTTACAAATGAAATGATCAATACTTTTAATCTAGAGCAAAATTTATTAACTTTCCCATCGGAGAGAGACATATTGACTCGGGGAGAGGGGTGTTAGTGCAGCGGAAGATGGATGGCTGGATGGTCGTCTCTTAGCCTGTCCTGGAGTCGGTGTGCGTGCAGCTGCCCTTTCGGCCCCACAGTGCCAGGGCGACTGGAGAAACCGAGTCTGGCCACTCCAGACGCACAGCAGGCAGGTGGGAACCTCTGACACAGGGGGCTCTTGTGCATCGGGAACCGTGGGAAGCACAACTCCCCAGACCATTGAGTTTTGGGTCAGTTTCAGGAAGGAAATGGCTGGATCTTTAGTCCCAGACTTCCACAGGGCCACAGAGCTCACCACAGTAGGGTGCTGCTGGGCAGGGCTGATGCTGAGGGCTGCCCAAGCACCTGTCCCTGGGCCGGCCTGGGTGCTCGGGGCTCTGTGGAGCGCTGCCGACAGCCTCCCATCAAGCCGCTTTTAATCTGCGAAGGGCAGCAGCAGGGAATGGGGTCTGACACAGTGGAGAGCCAAGTTCCAAAGTTGTTTGTACGATGTCTCAAGGATGTCATCTCGAACTGCTCCATCAAGCTTAGTGTGCTGAGCGCCGGCCTGGCCGACAGCCCTCTATTGAGCTTCCGCTGGCCGGGGAATTTTACTAGCCTTTTAAAAGTGCCTTCTCTCACTGGTTGGGGAAAAAAAAACCCTCATGTGTGAGTGGGAAAAGTCTTTCCAAGATCCACAATCAAACCCACCACTGCCCACAGTCACCTAAAACTCCAGGGACTCTGCTGCACATGCAGGACACCCACTTGTGGAACTGAGTTTCACTAGCCCCCTTGTTTTGAAGGCAGCAAATTGTTTCAAACTGACTTCTCTTATTTCTGAACCCTGATGACTGGAGAGCTTAAAGCTGAAGTTTGAACTATGGGTTTAAAGCATACAGAAATTGCAGAGATGAGAAGGGCTCAGTTGCAGGTGAAGAGTTACAGAGAAATTAAGTCGAAACAACAAAGATGTGTGGCAGGTTTGGAAGTGGCATTCGAGGCTGGCCAGGGTAATGCCACTAACCAATGTCCCTTGGCTTTACTCTTGAGAGCATCCTTGTCACTGCTGGGATCACAAGAGTGAACGTACTTTGTGTCTTACATGCTTCTGTTGCTACCCCTCAGTGCCTTGAAGTCTTACCCCACACCAGGTATTCTGACCCAGGTAACCTGGGGCCCGCAGTGTCGCCATTGAAGTGATGGCATGGTCTGATGTATCCGCAAGCTTGTGCCAAACACTAAATTAGAATTTTATGGAGATTTTTTGGGGGGCTGTCATTCATGTCCCCTCCTCACTTAGTGAAAGAGGAACGTAACCGTTGCTTCATCTCCACGATGCTTCTTTACAGAACAGTGACTCTAAACCAGGTGGCTGCAATTGTCTGTTACGTTGTCAGCAGAAAGGTTTGTTGGAAAGGATGTGAGAAACATAAAAATATTAAATACCTATGAAAATCATAAAATAAATGTACTAATCAATAGGCAGCTTTTTTTTTTAAGGGAAGTATAAAAAGGGACCTTGGTCTTCACAATCAACTTTTAAAGATCACCCTAGACAGCTTGGAAACACTGTAAATACTCCTTCTTATAAAGGCTGGTAATCCCTGTTTAGTCTTGAATACTTTGTAAAACAGTTCATAAGAGGCTGTTCTTACAGTCACAATAGTGTTTTTATTTGAGAGGAAAGCTTTCACTGGTTAGCAGGCCGGAGGAAATGGAAGCTATGGGGGCAGGGGGCGGGCAGCAGGGAGGCAGGAGGGAGGGGGCAGGACAAAGCGTTGCCCCAGCGGGAGCCTCAGGAGACTGGCTTCCTTCCCACACTCCCTGGTCGAGGCCCAGGAGTGGCCTTGTTGAGGTGACACCACGGCTGTGCCAAGTCCTGCAAGGTGTGCCAACTGTGCCGTGTGGACTGAGGGGAGGGACGGGGGAGGAGAGGTGGACAATCGGTAGAGGTGAGGCAACTCTCTTCCGAGGAACCTGAACTGGGGGACCCTAGCAGCAAGAAGCTGCAGTGGCTTGGCTTCAGACCTGCCTTCAGAGACTGTAGGTGGGCGCAGGTGGCCACGGGATCTGCAGTTTCCCCTGGCTGTGCGGGCCCCTGCTGCACCACACGCCTGCGGCCAGTCCAGCCCCACACACACCCCTCCAGGGCCTCAGCTCCTGCCATGCCCGGTGTTCCCCTGTGGGTTTCCGCTGTCCTTTCAGATGGCTCCTGCCATCTTGCACTCCCCGCCCCAATTCAAAGAATGGTGCCCCCACCACACACCTCTCGCCCACGGCCCCCATCCGTGCAGAAATCCACGTCTCCATCATGCTGGGGATTCTACATGTGCCAGGCAGCCAAGCAAACATTAATATGAGTGCTTCACCTTCTCCTGAACAATACTATTCCTCCTAAGAAGTCAAGTAGACACCTTCCAGCCCCGGGGTTACTTTCTGTAACTTTGGTAAGAAACTCACTGCTTCGGGCCACATCTAGGGGAGGCAGAGTGAAGGGAAAACCCCTCTCGTCGTTCACCATCAAAGACAACTTTATTACTCACAAAGCCACTCCGGCCCGGCGGCAGCGCGCCCTGGCAGCCTCGCGGAGCCCGGACCCCGTCCTGCCTAGGGCTACACTGGGAACGCCGAGCTCCGCTGTCCTCCACGAGGGTAGCGCTTCGATCCCCACAACAACCCTGTGAGGTAGGTATCGCCACCTTCCCCTCCTGATCCAGGTCACAGATGGGGAAGCTGAGGCACATGTTAATGAAGAGCAAGTCACATGGGAGTCTGAGGTGACCACTGGAGCTGGCACAGGAAATGACTCCTGGTGCCCACCACACACTAGTCACAGGTCCGTCCTGCCTCCTGCCCTCCCCTTTGGTGAGGTGTCAGAACTTCCCTTGGCCGAAAGCCCCTGCAGACAAGTTTCTCTGTAGCGAGCCTGCAGAGCTCCAAAGCCGCGGCGATGCTCAGGCCGGCGGGCCACACTGCTTCTCCTCGCGAGCAGGCGGCCCACCCCCAGCCAAGTCCCTGGCACATGGGCATCTGTAACAGACTAACAAACATCTTGTTGGCCGGAGTATGGACCGTGATTGATTGTTCCCAACCACGCAGCCCCGTGTGTGCACAGGTGGAGAGCTGACTTTAATGGCATTCCTCCAACGGACTCATTGTAAAAGAAACGAGAAGTCATCTCGTCCAGGGTGGCGACACCCCGAAGTGCCCACTTCCAACAGCAAGCCCAGGGATCCGGGCAGCTCTGAAGAAGCTGGCGTCCTGGGACCCAGAGCAGCCTGCAGGCCGGAGTCTGGAAAGAGTGCAGCAGTGGGGAGCGGCGGCGAGGACTCCGGCTGGCCCCGCGGCAGGATTCGGGTACGTCGGCTCCAGCAGCCAGCAGCGTGAGGCACGGGCTCAGGACCGGCTCAGGACCGGCTCCTGTCCTCATGGTTCCCAACGATCATCTTGCTGTACAGCTTCTGCTGCTCCTCCTTGAACGCATCCTTCACCTTCTCCCTCTTCAGGCCACCGTCCCTGTGAGAGAAAGGCTGCATGTAACAGCGGACAAAGCTTCCCGTCTACCCACATGTCACAGCCAGATGCTCCCTGCAGCTCCGACCCAAGAAAAACCTGCCAGAAACAGAGGTCCTCCATGGTCTCCCATCAGGACGAGCCCCGGGGCTGGCGCTGGACTCTGGGGGCCCACCCTTTCTATCTGGAAACTCGCACTCCTGCCCTGGGTCAGAATACACTGCTCGTACTCAAGGGCCTCTGTGACTGCTTAGACCTGCCAAGGAGTTTAAAATTCTCTCTTCTTCAGCATTTGTCCTCACCTTACAAAAGGTAAAGGAGGTGTTCTGGCATGATGAAAAGTGAACCAAGCTTTAAGAAATACTGAAGCTTACAATACTTGGTAAATTGGACCTGAGAAAGAAAATCTGTAAAGTTCAGACCCGAGGATTTCCCAAATTCATGCACACAGCAAACACAAGGGGAAATATATGTTCCTACTTGAATCCTGGCACCTCCCTCCATCTCCCCGAATGAATCCTCTACACTTGGACTTGCTCCCACCCACCTGTCACCCCAACTCTTTGCTTACGTCCTAGAATTATCACCATCTTCAATGACTGATGAAGATCCACGCCCACTTTCCATCTCTCGTGCCCACCCCCCCCCCCCTTCTGTGCTCCGGAGGTGTCAGTGGTGGAAAAGTCTGTGATGAAGCCCCTTTGCTCGGCGGACCTCACACTGGAAGACCCGGCACCTGCCACGCCCTTCCAAACCCACAGCAGAGGCGCCCTGGTTGTCACGAGGCCTCAGGCAGAGGGAAGGGCAGCAGTGGACAGACACTAGCTAGTTCCACGAGCCTGTCAGATCTGCGTTCAAAATCTGGCCCCGGGCTTTATTCTGTGACTTTGAAAAGCACCTCACGTCTCTGAGTTTCAGTCTGCCACCTGAAAAGTGGGAGTAAAAATGTTCAAACTTCAGGGACTCACTCTGAGGATGAAATGAGATCACCACACACAGCACCAGTATAGTACAGTGTCACCGTGACTGAGGGCCATGCTATGACCTAAGAAGCCGCAGGTCAGTTTAAAATGTGAATTTCCACACCTTCCCCACAACGCCCACTTCAGTCTAATGCCCTCTAAAGCTGACCGTTGTGCTTAACCCTAAGGGGCCCTAAGATGCTGGAACTGTGTCCCTGAGCTGGCATTCATCCCACCCCCTCCTGTAACTGCAGTGTAATGGTCTCCTTCCAGCATGAGGGTCTGCAAACTATGACCATGGGCCAAATCCGTCCGACACCTGTCTGTAAATGAAGTTTTCCCGGAACACATGCGTTCATGTGTGTATGTGCTAGCTCTGTGTTTGCCTTATACTACAATGGCAGAGTTAAGCAGATGCAAGACATGCCACAAGGTCCAGTGTCTAGAAGGTTTACTAACTCTACAGAAAATGTTGGCCATTCCTGCTCTAGTAGGTAGCACCCTAAATGCGAACATAGAAACTTGGGTCTTTCTAAAGATAATCCAGTTTTGCCAAATACATGTGATCAGAGAGCCCAGTACCCCTGGTGAGGTTTCTAGCCCAGCATCAGGCAAGGACGGCTTGGGTGCCCTGGCAGACTGGTCCAAACCCCAGAGAGGCTTAGTTCAGCTCCATGTTCCCCGAGACCAAGCTAACAGCAGGCACTTCTGAGCTGGAACTAGCAGAGAGCAGCCAAACTGCTCCCTCTCCAGGGTTGGTGAGCGTCATTCTCTAAACCAGGGAGAGGGGGAGTCTCTGAAACTGGGGTCAACAATTTAGCACTTCCTTCAGAAATTCACGTTCTCCTCGACTCAGCCGATCAGACCTGGCTTTGACTCACCACAGCAGGTCCACGAGTCCTCCCTGTCTGGCAATGGCGGATTTCACCCTATTCGCAAACTGGACGGCATCTTCATCTGTCTGTAAGAAAGTGAATGAGACCACTTCATCCCGGCTCATAGTCAAAGAGAGCCAAGGGAAGACCTCTGCAAGCTGGGGTACCCACCTCTCTGGTCATGGGGGGCAGGTACCAGACACTGCAGACAATGGCCCAGCTGGTCATCATTCGCAGCAGGTACGTCACCATTCCATATTTGCTGCTGTTAAAGAAGGCATCACCGAACTGAGGGTCGTACTGAAAAACAGCGGGAAGCTGATGGTAAGAAGTCAGCAGCTCTAACAATGAATGCACCCCCTGGGGCAGTATCAGTGACAGAAAGAGACCTCCAGCCCCCTCTGGGAACACTTCTAAAGTAACCTATGCCCGGGCAGTTCTGGCCTCTGGGAACATTAGCCACCCCTGACCCACCCAAGATCCCGCTGCAGGTCCTTGGGGAGGACGGCCTTCCTCAAACAGGTATCCCCCTCTTTGATTAGTTTCCCATCTCGCTCCCTTGTTGGTACATATAGGTTATTATTTAAGTTTTCAAGCACATCCAAAAACAGAGAATAGGCTAATATACTCCCATAAACCCATTCCCTAGATTCCACAATTGCCAACATTTCGCCATACTCACCTCATCTATCCCCTTGCCCTCTTACACACTGTACCGCTTCATGCTATTCACTCATCAACACATGTACCTCCACCAAATAAAAACATTTTCCTACCTACCAGCCTTTAAGTATCATTTCTAGTGCCTCAAAGAGAAAACAGAGAGCTTATGATATGCTTCTGTAATTATGCTTCTGACAAAACCAACCACCTGTTTAAGCAGGAGGCTCTGCTCTTATTAAACCCAGTGTGCGTTACTGAGTGAACACACAGCCGGCGAGGCACTTCCTTACCAGGTATTTTCGGTTGGTAATGACCCTAATGGAGGCAAGAGCTGTACTTCAAGGGCACTTTGTGGGAAGTGTGGCCAAAGCTGTGACCCTCATTCTCACAAAACAGAAGAATAAATTAAGCAGCAGGTAAGCATGGATGGAGAGGCCCCAGCCAAAGCTATCAGATGCCTGAAAGGCTGTCATCACAAGCCACTGCACTGACTTTGTGTGATTATAAAACCCAGCTAGGACCAGAGGTGAAAAAAAATCCAAGGCCACGGAACTGCCAGAGCTGCGCCACGGAAGCCAGCAGCGCCGGCGTGGACAGGCCCTGGCCTGGGGGAGCCGCAGAGCAGCAGGGGCGGGAGGCTGTGCGGGTGCCCCCGCACTCGAGGCAGCGGGATGTCTGAGCTGTGGGATCTTGTCGGGTCTTCAAGCCCGAATTTTCTAATTGTCAGAACAGGAATTGGATCTTCATGCCTAGCTGAGAAACTGACTACTGAAACGAAGACATTTAGATTTAATTACAGAAACTAAGAAATTTAGATGTAACTATAGAAGGCTTAATGACCTCACGTTATAACACCAAAAGGAAATAAGGGAGAAGAATGAGTTTTAAACAGAAGCTAATGTGTATGATTTGAACAAAGAAAGTGTTCTATTTTGTAAAGCACTATATAAATTAAAAAATGTGGTATGTTGTCAGAGAGTGAGAGTCCTTTGTTTAGGGCTAATTCTGTACTCCATGCTGGGCAGACCCTACAGACAGAAAAACAAGGCAAAAAGCTCAAAACAACAATACACTGCTCAAAATCGATGACAATTTTGGTGGAAATGTAGTAAGAGTCATGAAATTGCTAAGGTTATCCAAGGTTCGTTACCAAGAACATCATAAAAACTAGAAAGTATTTGTGGAGCAGTTCTTAATCTTATGCGGGCTTTCATTTGTGAATGGAAAGAGATTATATGTAAAATTTACATGCCTTTTCCTTTGCAGAGGAGTCAAAACTGCCCAAGGGCCTAGGTTCCAAAACCGGCAAAGACCACTGCTCCAGAGCAGGGCACGCACAGTGTGGCTCCTGCCGCAGCATCAGCGTTTCTGACCCAGGAGCGGGTCAGAAACGCAAGCCCAGGCACCCACATTTTCACAACCTGTCCAGGGGATGCTGATGTAGCTAAGATCCGAGAGCCAATGTTGTGGAGTGAGCAAGATGGCCTCTCCAGTAGCCTGTGTCTGATAAACACATATGGGGAAGCACTGGACTCGCAGTACGTTAAAATGCAGGACGGTGTGCATGTGGCAGAAACGTCACTCCCCACTCCTGCACCCACAGTGACACGGCTCACGGACTGTTTTCTTTCTTGCTGTTCCCACACACGGCATCAGAGCATCCCCCACAAATCTCTCGAGCAGCCCTGACCCATGGGTTGGTTACCCTGCATCCACTATTCACTGGCCATCCTTGCCCTGGTGCTTTGCCCACCTGGTAAGAGGGGAGGGGCTGGTAAGCCTTTGCTCAACCAAGAAGAGCACCGCCCCCCCTCCCAACCTCCCGCTGTACCAGCTGTGCTGGCAAAATGAAAATACGAAATATTTCTACAGAATACTCTGCAGATAACAAACAGACCCTTGCATAAGTATGGTGACTAAATTCTAAGCACAGCTCAAATTTACTCACTGTTTTACCCTGATTTCAATCTAAATACTTTACATACTGACCATAGCCTGTGCTTTTTAGAAGTAATAATGTAACAGCAAACTTCTAGAAATAATACTATCAACAGATGAATGTGAAGGGGCAGATGGAAGGAGGACAAGAAAAAAGGGAAACTGGCTGGCTAACTGAATCCATCTCTCTAGGTGAGCCTGAACAGTTAGAAGCACAATTTCCTAAAAGGTGGAGGGATAGACTAGACAAGCTCCTAAGATCCATTTCACTTTTATAGGGGTCCTCGGCACACAGAAGAGATCACGGCCCAAATCAGTGGACCTGTTTCCTCCTTCAGTCCTAAGGACACATCTGCACCCATCCGGCAAATACACAAATCCAGCTGGGCAGCCATACACCCCACTCCCTGCACAGGCCACCTCTCCAGGTGGAACACCTGACATTCCAGCTAGGGTTATGAAGACAGAGGAAATAAGTGGGGGGAAATGTACAAAGCTCAAAAGCTTTCTCCATTTCCTAAATCTGGTGGGGGTGGGAAGGTGTGGGTTGGAATCTGGCTGTTCCGAGTTCCAATAGTCCCAGTTCTTTCTAACAGGTTAGAACAATGTTATATTCTCATAAGCACTCAACCCGGCCCAGCCCTAGGCTGCTCTGCTGGAGAGGATCCACCCACTGATGGTGACACCAGCTCCTTCCTCTGTCTTCTCTTGCCGCATCCTGTTCGTGGCAGTGACCACAACAACCAATGTACCCTCAGAGGTCTTGTACCTTGATAGCAACTGGGTAAACCGTGGCTCCAATTTCAAAACTTCCCTTTTTGAACATCATCACTGATGTATTATTGATGCAGGTTCCTAAAATGCAGGAGAGAATAAAATGCTATTTCTTTTGGTCCTTTATCGCAGAGACCAGGAGTTTAAGGACTGAATATAATAATGATTCTAATGATTCTTCAAACAGAATAAATCTGTCATCTCCCTAGCTTATGAATGAACTTATCAGAGATGAGCAAAATATTCATCTACTTCCCATTCTCTTATTATAGGGTCACATTCCTGATTAACATGCGCCAGCCTAGACAAAAGGCCAGAGACACTCAGCAGACTTAGCAGGTTTTAGCAGAAACTCCACAGGAAGCTCAAAGAGCCTTTCAGCAACACTAGGAAAGGGATTCCTGTGTTGAGGAAGTTCACACTATGGCACTTAGTCCAAATTCTAAATTTCTGTGGGTTTTAGTCCCACAACCAATCTAAAGGGACCTAACATCATCCAGTGAAAACAGACAAGCCCAGCAAAGGCTGAGGGACTTGGCTGAGGCCACGCCAGAGCCCCCACCCCGCACGACCTCCGCCACAGAAGCTCTGTGGTGGCCAACGCCTTCTTACCCTCTGGGAAGATGAGGATAGGCAGCTTGCTTTTATCCCGCACGTGCTCACTCAGTCTTCAGAAGAGAAAAATAAAACAAAGGGTCAGACGGTGTTATGTCCATTAGCACCAAAATGCATTTATAAATAACCCACATAGACATGACATTAGATGTTGCATAAAAACAAGTGCACAGATATGACCCTGTCTTCTATAACCCCAGAATCTAAATCTCACAAAAATAAAACTTGAAAGAATAGGGAAGATCAGCTGACTACTAGTTAATTCACACAGTTACCCAATCAAGTACTAATGTTTGTGGACAGAAGACACTGCTCAGACTTGGAACTATCCGCAGGACACACCTGCCCAGGGCCTTGCAAAGAGCACCCTTAATAAACACCTGCTACCAAACTTCCTAACAGCCTTGCTGGGCTGTGTGTAAAGACAGTCACTTCACACTCTGTCCCTGAGAGACGGAGCAACGGGACTTCGACGGCAGGTGCCTTTGTTCCTATGGAAGGGGGCCTCAGCTGCGTCTGGATTCCTCTCAGTAATACCGCAATGCTTACGCCATCACTTACACAATTTATCCTTCTTTTCAGGCTTGGAAACAAAGCAGCACTTTGTTACACTGCCCTAAGTTTGTTTTTATTTGTGATATGAATTGATTTTGAGATTTCAAATAGCATTAAAAGTATACATGTTGTTTATTACAACAGGTACAAGAAATAAAGGTTTAGAAACACTACTAACTTGGTAAATAATGTTAGTGTTTCTATACCTTTCATGTTCCATGTTTTAGAAAAAATATCTTTATTGTGAAAGCAGTATAGGCTCAGTGTACAAGACACTATAATTTCACTGTGGAGGGATAACTACCTCTAAAATGCATGCTTTCCCTGTAACTGGTCAAATAGAATAGCATTGTGTCGATTTACCTTTTAGCCACCAGGTGGCGATCTTTCACCTCAGAGCGCTCAAACCAGATGTGAGGGCAGGCCTTCACCACGGCTCTCTGAATCACACCCATGAGTCCCCCGTGCGCTTGACCCACCTAATCTCAGACAAAGGAGTAACTGGTAGTGAAGCCATCCTCACACAAATCCCCCACGCCGTGGAGAAAGGCCCAGCTCCCACAAGATAAGCACCCCAACCTCTCACACTATTGCTAACCACAGGTTTCTCACTATTAAGAAACCATGAATCTTAAATTTATCTTTTTAATTGGTGATACCAGAGATGTATAATTAAAAACATGGTTGAAAATCCTAAAACAAAATAATGAAGCTGAACAGTACCATGTGTAAAAATGTCCTCCCCGCCACCCCGCCCTGGGCAGATTCTCCAATGCCACTGAACCCAGTCCTTTCAAATCCTCCCTCCTTATCTTCACCCCTTTCCAGGTCACCTAAGTATCCAAAGTCTAATCTCCAACCAAACTTTCAGTCACTCTGCTCAGAATATTTGCTATTCAAGTCCCACGGGGTTCTCAAAAGCAACAGAAACAAAGGCAAAAATCTAGGTTGGGGACCACACAGAAAAACTTGTTTATCTGTTTACACCCTTAAGAAAGAGCTCAGTGCAGGGCCCAGAAGCATCTCAACCCTGACCAGTCTCTAAAGCAAGAAGTCTTGCCCCAAGAAAGCAACAGAAAGGAGTCTTACCATGGCATAATAGCCATCACTGGCCAAAATGATGACGTCGATGGGAGAGGTATGATTGGCCACACAGATGCCACCGTTTCTAGGTCTGTTTTTCCTGTTTGGGAAGTATGCAAAGCAACAAAAATTCATGTGAAACAATTCGTCTGAACTCGCCCCTCACCTCAGCGTCATCGACTCTAACTGAAAGGACCGAGCCTGGCTGGCCGGTGGCAGCTGGGCCCCGTTTGCCAGCGCCACTGCCCGCTGTACCGTACCAAGTGGCCTCACCTGTCGTGGTAGGTAATGATGGCTGTCAGGGCGCGCACGCAGATCCGGTAACACATTAAGTGAACATGTTTACTCATGAACTCCTTAAACCTGCAATGACAGGACAAAGATTTTTGGTTTTATTTTAAGTGTAGGAAGAAAGGAAAAGTTGCTGACTCCAACAATTTAACAATCACAGCCTACAGTCCTTTATGTCTGCAAAGTATTTTCATAAATATTAGTGTGTATGGTAAAATCCTGGAATTTATTAGCATTTTTATGCCCACATGAGGAAACAAAGTAATGAGAATGGCTTAAATTCACATAAGTAAATGGGTTTAAACTTCACAGCTTTGGAATTTCCTGCACAGCTGAGTCTACTAGATTCCTTCCCCCTCTAGTCTACACCTAGAGGCGAGGCAAGGCAAAGGCAGAGTCGAATCTCCTAACTGGCCTGGGCAGAAGAGATGTTGGCCTGCTCCAGCATTTCCCAGAAGGAGATTTCTCCTTTACAGAACAAACAAAGAAGCCCTACCTACATTTCTTATTCTCTCACCAATTTATCAACACAGTGTTGAATGCTCAACACTAAACAACATCCTGTAAAATATGCTAGCTGTGGGCTGTAGAGTTTTGTGGTTTCTCCATTTTGTCTTTAAAAACGGGAAGAGTAGCCCTGGCAGGCATAGCTCAGTGGATTGAGCATGGGCTGCGAACCAAAGTGTTGCAGGTTCAATTCCCAGTATGGGCACATGCCTGGGTTGCAGGCCACGGCCCCCAGCAACCGCACATTGATGTTTCTCTCTCTCTTTCTCCCTTCCCTCTCTAAAAATAAATAAATAAAATCTTAACACACACACACACACACACACACACACACACACACACAAATGGGAAGAGTGTGAGGGCTGGAGGCCAAAATGAACAGTCATAGATCAAGATTGGTAAAAAAACAAGACTTCAGTGCCGATGCCACTGTAATCATTGGGTTAATTTATCATTGGGTTAAGATTCTGTGGTTTGGCTGCACCCCGAGAAGTAGCCTGGCTTTCAGTATCAGAGCCTCCACTGCAGAACCCTTCAGACAGGGACACTCCCACGCTACTCACCTCCCGTTGGGCAAGTATCCCACCATGGTTGTGCCCACCACCAGAAGGCTAATCCCTGTGAAAGCGAGGGCTATCCTGTAATAAGAAGACAAGTTAAAACACAGCAAACAAATCCTTGCACTAGGTATAGAACTGACTGTGTGAAAATAAAAATGGGCATCATGAAACCACCCCCAAGACCTTATGACCTATGAGCTGGAACCTAGAGTTCCAGCTAGAAATGCATGCAGGCCTATCAGAACCAGAGATCATTCTGATTACAAACTAACAGCCACTATGGATCTGGCTCTCAGCTGACACTATCTCCCTTCAGGCATCAGGCAGCTGCTTGCTGTGCTGCCCTCGGGCACCTGCTGTCCTACCCTGCCCCTTGGCTTTAAACTCTGGCAGAAGCACAGCTTCTCTGTGAAGCAACAGGAAATAGAGCCTGAAGGTACCAGCATCTGGCAAGGCATACTGAGAAAGCAATGGGTACAGCAAGACCGAGAGATCAATACTGCCTCTGTACTGGAGTAGGAGAAAATTAGCCCTGCCCAGGGAGGAGCAGCCGGAAAGTACAACATGTCTCCTGTCCCTGTGTTTAGTCCATCTGGACAAGCAATTTGTCTTCAGAAACCTGACTATCTCTGTTTGATACAAAGAGAAGCCAGGACCTTTACAGGACAACCACCAGTGTGCCCTTTCAAGGGTCAGAGGGACTGACTGATGAAAGAATCATACTCTCCCCCCTAAAATGGGAAAACACAGCAGGGAGACACAGGTAGGCAGATCATGCAAGGGGCTTAGGCAGCAGCAGCTCAAGCCCTTTGTCCCCTGGGGCCCTGCCCTCACCTGAGAGGCAGCAGGAAGCAGTACCGAATCAGCACGCCTAAGCCCCATAAGACAGTGAGCCGGAGGCTGATGTACTGGAAGTTGTAATTGGTCCTGCTCAGCAGGTTCCAGGACTCCAGCTCCTCTGCTGAGAATCTCTTTGTCACCTCATCATCCATAATGGTTTCCATTCCTTTCCGGCAAAAGTAGAAAATGTCAGAGAGCTCAAACTCTGGAGTATTATCTAGAGCCTTACTGCTGCCACTTCGACGAATTTCTTTGATCTCTTCTTCTAGTGAAGTGGGATCTTTTGCAATAATTCCTGCAAAAGAGAACACCCTGTCAATCTGGAAGAAAGCATGGTGAACATACCCAGAGCACACAGCCCACCTTTGAAACAGAGAAGAGTCTGTGTGTAATTAAAAGCATTCAGAAACATATTTCAAGTGAACCTTCTAGGATAAGGATCAAGACTCGGGCTTACCATTGGTATAGGGCTTGTAGAGTTGGTGGTTCTTCTCTTTGGCTCCTCTCTCCATTCTCAAGGTCGCCCACTGCAGGGGGGGTAAACAGTAAGAGTTAAGAATGAACACCTATTTCCATCCTGTGAAAGCCTCAAGCCCTGTCACTCACCCGAGGTCAGCCTGTAGCCAAGCACACACCCATTCTAGAAGTGAACTCAAAGCTCCTCCTAGAGCAGTCCCCCTCCTCGATAACTAAGACCAAGAGTTAAGTCGCCTACAGTCATCAGCTGGAAACTAAGGAGCACAGGTAAACCTCTAGCTTCTTACTACCTAACTCTGTCTCCGGTTCCTTAAGGAACTGCCTAGCTGACATTACGTGGACCTCACCTGCAGTTACTACCAAACAGCAGCAATTCATGAACAGTAAAATCAAGCTTCCTTTTAGCTACTACCTGCCACCTGATGCGGCCTACCTCCCAAATTGGTCCAAGAAAGAGACAATTTTTAGTAAAGGGTTTAAATAATATATATGAGACAATTTTTAGTAAAGGGTTTAAATAATATATATATCCGGACTGTCCAATACCTCTGAGTACCTTTTTAACAGGAGAACTCTAGTTGATATAGAAAGGCCCAAGGGGCTCTGTGTTACAGGGGGGAAAAAAGCGTTAGGGAAAAAAGAGCACTATTTGCAAGATTTAAAAAAGTCTAGGTTCAAATCCCAAGTTTGACACTTATGTCCCTTAAGTAACTCATTCCAACACTGAATGTTAGTCTTTTCTATCTACAAAGTAAAATAATAATGTGTTAACCTCCTACAGCACGAGGTCACTTAGAATCATATGAAATTTTGTGTGACAGAACTTGGGCAACTGCATAAAACTCTAACTATAGTCCTGGCTGATACGGCTCAGCAGATTGAGTGCTGGCCTGTGACCTGAAAGGTCGCTGGTTGATTCCTGGTCAGGACACGTCTGGGTTGAGTTCAGTCTCCAGTTGGGTGTGTGTGAGAGGCAACCAATCAAACCCTCTCTTTCTTCCTCCCTTACCCTCTCTCTAAAAATAAATAAAACCTTTAAGGAAAAAAGAGAGAAGCTCTAGAGCCTCCCTTCCTTCATTAAAATCCTTTTAATTAGAGAGAGAGAGTCAGAGGCTGGGTCTCTCCCACTATTAAATAATGAGAGGTGAAAGCGTAACCTCATTCACTACATACTGGAATATGTTATCACCAAATAGGAAGTTGTGTCCATGGTGATCAAAGAAATAGAACAGGTATCTTAAAAGGGGTCTTCGCAAACTTCTGTTTCATTATGCAAGGTGGGAAAGAACCCTGTTATTCATGACACAGCAAAATCCACATGGACCAAAGCATTTGGTGTGGACTTTTCTGGCAGAGCCTGAAGTTCTGAGCAAGACTGCTTTACATGGTCTAGCAGAGCCAAAAGCAGGACACAGGTTTAACCAGTAATCTGACCTCATCTGGAAATTTCTCCAAACTCCACTGTCTAAACAAAAAACAAAAAACAAAAAACAAACAAACCAGAAGGCTTACAGAGTCACCCACTCAAAGAAAGGTCTATGGCAAGAAAACTCATATATACCCATTTTCTATGTCAGATATTTAGCCATTGATGTCTTCTGGCTCTATGCATGGATGATCTTCTCTAGAAGAAAATGTAAATATAACTCCTAAAATGGAGGAAGGTGAATTTCATTTGGGAATTTATCTAGGGAAGGGGTGAATACGGGGCTAGAGAGCTCACAAGAAGCCTGGCATACAGACCCGTCACTCAACCCGAGTTTGGGGCCTTCCATTTTGGCCGAGACTCAGCATTAGTGTTACAAGCGTAGTCAGAATTAGAAAACAGCACGCCATCAGAACTGGTTCTGAACTGACAGTTCTGATGCTTGGATTGGGATGCAACAGGTGGGTAATGTATGCCATCAGGCCTCGAAAGCGCTAGAATTTATGTCTGTGAGGGCGGCTTCCCTGTGCAAAATTTCCAATGGCTGTGGTCTTCTGTTTTCACTGGAAAGGTACTGCTTAAATGAGGTTCTATGTCTCCTAGCTCCGTGTGTGACATAGCTCTGTCACAAACGTCCCCTTACCTTTGGGCTTTGTACTTCTAGCTTTATCTTTTGAATTTCAGGTACATTACAAACTGCTTCTGTGTTTAGGAAAGAACTGTCCAGTCAGAAGGGCAGGAGGAAAGAGGGCAGGGTGGGAGGACCCTGGCTGTGAGCGGGGAACAGCCTGTGAAGGCACGGCTGGGTTGCTCACCCTGGTCGGAGGACTGAGTGACGGGGTGTCGAACACCAGCAACGTCTGACGACTGTGCGACTGGTTCTCTGTGCTGTCACTTTAAGTACAGTGCTCCGATATCCGGAATAAAACTGGGAATCCTAGGTTCAGCATTCATTCCCCTATAACCCTCCTCTCACGTACCCTGGGAGATGCCATTTACTACACTGTCAGTATGATTCTGAAACTATTCCCTTTTCAGCTTCTACCAGACAGAGCTAATCACGTGATTAAGGACTAACAGTCTGAGTAACACTAATCTCAGCACAAACATCTTTGCAATCGACTTCCATTGCATTTCCCCATGCACTAACTAGATATACCCCAAGAATCAGGCCCTTAAAAAAAGTCCAGTTCCCATCAACCACAATCTTCTATGACCTAGGCAAAAGCTGAAGCTTTTAACAACTCTCTCCTCTCTCCTTGCTTCAGCTATAATCTCTAAGTCATTACTGCCAAATCTACAATGACTTCACTGAAGAGCCAACCTCACATTCCAGTCACTGGCTGACCATCTCCACACCAAGTCCAACCAGCCCTCATCAGCCAGCAGGCTGAGATTTAAAGGCAGCGTACCTTCTTCCAACCCGCAGTGCGCACCCCTCCCTCTGGCCTTCCTCCTCTGGTGCTGGGATCACTATCACGCTGCCATCCAAGCTTTCGGACTTCCCACCTGTCAACAACTCCTATCAATCTCCCCTGGAGCTGACTATCTTTTACAGCAGCTTCGCCTGTCATGCCCCTACCTTCTTTCACTGGCTGCTTCTCTTGCCTACGCTACTAACGCAACAGCTCGAAAGAGAGCTGTAACTTGTTTCCTCCAATCAGTCCAAACATATGCTGCCAGTCTGACCATGTCACTCCTTTGCTCAAAATCCTTCAATGGCTTCTCAATGCCTAAGGAAATATTTGGCTGTATAGTCTACCTCATTCCCTCCATGCACTCAATATTTTTGCTCTACAGAACTATGTACTACCTCTAAACAAGACTGTATTTTCTCATCTGCATTTCTAGAGTGATTTTTGCTTTTTAAGATCCAGTTCAAATGCCAACTCTTGCATGAAGTGGTATCTGTCCAATTCCTGCAGTCGGAATTAATCTTTGTCTATTTTAACCAGCACTACATCGTGAAATCAGTTATGGAAACGTGTATCTGTCATTACAACTAAACTATAAATATCTTGAGAGGTAGTAGCCAGAAACTATCCATGTTTGCATTCCAGCAGATAAAGTGCCTTGCACTTAATAGGCAGTCAATAAGGGCTACATTTAATTAACCAACACAAGGTCCATATGAAAAGGTAACCGCAAAATGATAAAACCTAAAACTACTTCCAATCACCTTCTCCACCACAACCACATTCTCTTCTTCTTGACTTCATCCTGTAAGCTACTCAGAGGTATGTTAAAACCACCCTTCTCATGCGGACAGGAAGGACATGTCTGATTAAAACGACCTCTTTCACTTATAATCGTATGATGTTACTATTACTATTCCCATCCTCTAGATGAGGAAGCAGACTGGAAAGTCTGATGACTCAGGTCAAGTTTTGGAGCTGGCAGGAAAAGCCCTGGATTTAAAGCTAAGGGCCACTTGACTCAAACACTCATGCCCACCCCACCACACTGCCACTACCTGTACATTCTCCTCAATTTCCTCACAGTGTCAGTGACTCTCCACCCACCAATTCTGCTTTGGAATTTAATGTCAGTCAGATCACAACTCTCCCATGTTCTCCCACCTGACCTGATCAACTCTTTCCACAGCGGGCAAGAAAACTGACAGGCCATTCATTCTCACCTTCGTCCTCTATAACCAGTCTTTCTTCTTTCTGCCTTCCGAAATCATCCTCAACTCAGAGTCAAGTCCACTCCTAGGAATTCTACCCCAAATAATACCATGACCACTGTCTTGAGGGTAAATCTGAAGCAGAAACATTATGAAAACTAAAACACTTTAAATAACATGCTGCCCTCTGCACAGAAAGATTTTCTATGACAGCTTTAACAAGACCTGCACTGAGTTAAGTCTTCCAGGAGAGGAAACTCCTTCCAGAAAAAAGACACTGGCCCACCCATATCCCCTTTACAATCCTTCCTTGGCAGGTATTATACACAGGCTCTTTTGCACAGAAAAAGGAGCTAATTGTGGGAAACTAGCTGTGAAGCTAGGGCTTACTTAGGTCTACCAAAAGCACTGGGATATGGACTATCAGCTATCCCGTTTTAAAAGTCTTTATGAAGATTATCTAGTACAATGAAAAAATGGCTGATAAAAAGAGAACGTAGATACAAAGTTGTACGTGCACGCTATTAACACGACCAGAAAATATGAACATGTTTTGTTGAAGACTGAAAGGTAATGCCAAAAAAATTTTAAGGTGTTGTAAACTGGAGGACATAAATGAATGTTTAAAATTCTTTAATATTATATTGTCTGGTTTTTTATTGCTGTTTAACAAACCACCCCATAACTCAGTAGCATAAAACACTACCATCATTTGTTTTGCTCAGGATTCTGCAAACTGTAGAGCTGGCATCAGCCTGGTGGCTCAAAGGCTGGGGGCCGGACCCCTCCGAAGGCTTGCTCATCCCTGCATGTGGTGTTGATGCTGGCTGTCGGAGCCCCCCGGGGCTGTGAGCTGGAACACCTACAGGTGGCTGGGGCTTCCTCACAACATGGCATCTGGGTTCCAGTGACAAGCACCTCGGGAATCAGACAGCAGTTGCACTGCCTTTCTAAACCTAATCTCACACATCACACAGCATCACATACACCACGTTTCATTTGTGAGAAACAAGTCATAAGGCACGTCCCCATTCAAGAGGAAGTCAATCAGACTCCACCTTTTGACGGCAGACATTGGAATCACTTGAGGACTTTCTGAAAGTGCCAATCCAGATCAATTAAATCAGAATCTCTGAGGAGAATGTAGTGCTCCCAAATAAGCACTTTTAAAATGCTTTCTCAGGTGATTCCAATTGTGTAGTTGGGGGGGAGAGCCACAGAATTAAGATAATTTCTGAGCTTTCTTCCAGCTGCAAAATTATACATGTCAACACGATTTGGGAGGGGATGAAGAGGCTTAAAAAAAGGCAAAATAAAGATCTGTCTTCTATTAAAAAACATCCACAAATATAGGTGTATTTTACATGTGTACATGGATATACAGATGTGTGCTTTCCAAGTTCTAAAGCCAGGCTGGCCAAATCCAACTTATATCTAATACTAGCACTGATAAAAAAAAAACAGCATTCAGTTCCTACTGCCCATTGAGATCTACTCAGAGCAGTAACCCTTTACTAGGGGCTGAGGAGAGATAGAGCCATCCTGTGCCTTTGCTGGCATGTATCAGTTCTTCCTAGCCTAGTCCTCACTCTAGCTTACCACCCAGAAGTAATTATCCATAATGCGCAATAGGACAGGAGTCCTAGGGCCCGCTGAGTGCCTGATAACACACCTCTAGGAAATAAGACTTGCAAAGCTAGTTCCTGAAATTCTAGGTCTTGAGGTCAAAATGAGTACATATACACACACATTAATTCCATTATCACTTCTAAACCACTGTGCCCCAAACCAGTGATTTTCAAGGTGTGGTCAGCAGAGCCTCTGAAGGCTTAAGATGACCAGTCCTGTGGACTGCCCCAACAATATATATTTAATGAAGTTTCCATTGTCAATTATAATCTACCCTAAAAGTCACAAGAATGTACATTTAAAACTATAATCACGGTAAGAAGGATTTACCTGGCTATGTACTTTAAAGTATTAATTTGGGGGGATATTTTCAAAATGGAGTAGGGAATATACATGGATTCCAGACCTGTGCCCCACCCAAAGAGATCCAAGTTAAAAAATTTTAGCTACTCTAGAAGAACCCTAGGTTGATAATTCCTATTTCTATGGTTTAAAAAATGAGGATTTCCACCCTGCCTCGTGTGGCTCAGGGGATTGAGCACTGGCCTGTGAACCCAAGGCCACCAATTCAATTCCCAGTCAGGGCACGAGCCTTGGGTGCTGGCCAGGTCCCCAGTTGGGGGCAACCAATCAATGCTTCTTTCTCACATCAATGTTTCTCTCCCTCTTTTTCTCCCTCCCTTCCCCCATCTCTAAAAATAAATAATTTTTTTTTAAAAAACAAGAATATCTGTAGGTCTATGAATTAGTCACTTGCTTATAAACTTGAATAAAAGCTAGACATCACTCACTGCTGTCTCCTAAAAGTGTATCAGGTGCTCCACTCATTCTATACCAGTGAATGTTTTTCTCACAATGGCAAAAGGACATGGGCAGTAAGGTACAGTTCACAGGAACCCTGGGCTCTACTGAAGATTTTCTTGGACTGAAATTGAGGAAAATTAGATTTCCTGATTAATTAAAATAAACACTATATGTTAGCAAAGCAACAATTCCAAAAATTGATTAGACTACCACTTCTCAAACTTCAATGTGCCTATGAATCACCTGGATCTTGTCAAAATGCAAATTAGAATTCAGAAGATCTGGAGTGGGCCTGAGACCTGCATTTCTAACCAGCTTTTAGGGGCACCCCTGCTGCTGGTCTCCAGACCTCCCCGAGTAGTAAGGAGCTAGATGACCCAGGAGACCGTAAGCTGTGCTCAAAAACCACATCACTGCAAACAGGCACTCACACAAGTGCATGTGTACACAGCAGCACTACTGACAACAGCGAGAAAGTAAAAACAATCCATCAACAGATAGGCGAATTATGGCACAGACACACAATAAAATATTATCCAGCTAGTAAAAAAAAGTACAGAGCCCTGGCTGGTGTAACTCAGTGGACTGAGTGCGGGCTGTGAACCAAAGTGTCGCAAGTTCGATTCCCTGCCAGGGTACATGCCTGGGTTGCAGGCCATAACCCCCAGAAACCGCATATTGATGCTTCTCTCTCGCTCTCTTTCTTCCTCCCTTCCCTCTCTAAAAATAAATAAAATCTTGAAAAAAAAAAAAGTACTGAAACATGTTACAATGTGGATGAATCTCAAATATTTTATACTAAATGAATGAAGCCAGTTAGGTACAAAAAAAGTGTATTTCATGATTCTATTTATATGAAATATCCAGAATAAGTAAATCTACAGACAGAACAGCCTCCCTCCTGGTTGCAAGGAGCTGAGGGAGGGGAAAATGGGGGCCAACTGCTTAATACACTTGGGGTTTCCTTCTGGAGTGAAGACAATGCTGTGGAAGTAGGTAGTGTTGGTGGTTGTGTAACACCATAAATACAATAAATGCCACTAAATTTTTCACCTTAAAATGGTTAATTTTATGTAACCTTAATTTTTTAAAATGTAAAATAATGATTTTTATAGAAATATTAAATACCAAAATATTCAATGATATACACAAAAAATTTCCCACTGTAATGTAACATTTTATATAGCTCATTTCATATATCCGAGTCCTTATTTCTTCATTGATAAAATGTAGGTATTTTATGCTGTCCTGTCCACTGCAGAATTATAAGGATCCAAAGGAAAATGAATAAAATTATTCTGTGAAATATTCGATACTGTATGAACAAATAATACTACATTGTTTCAAAAACACCTGAAGATCTGGTGATGATGAAGAGATATTTTTAACAAATTACCAAATCTTTAGATAGGTACTAAAAGCCTTGGGGCACAGAACAGCTTCCAGGAAATACCCTTCTCACCCATTTCTTTCACAGTATGACCAGTATGGTCCAGCAGTGTAATTAACTAGGTTCTGACATATGTTAAGAAATTCATTACCCATCTCCTCTATCTTTAAAAAAATAAACAATTCATTGAGTGCCCTTTTTCTGTTAATTATTTTTGTCTGAAATGCAAGAACCTATTTAAGGTAAATGTTTGAAGGAGAGAAAAAACTCTCCCACACTTATCGGAAAGGGACTACTTTAGCAGCAGCTCTGGATCTCAGTGTCTAGTACACAGAAAGTGGGATCTGGTGGTTACCGTTTTCCTTTAAGCCCCTCTCTCAGAAATAAAGACGGGAGGTACGGAGCCATGGCATAGGCTCCTTCGCTGAGTGAATCAAGCATACAAGTGCCTCAGCTCAAAAGAAAGACTGCTGAAGGCTTTTACAAGTACACATTTAGTTATTCTTTTTACTTAAAATGCCACTTCCCATTCTCCCAACTTTCCCCATATCCGATAAAAAGAGGGAACAATCAACCAGAGAAGAACAACTGTTTTCTGCCTCTGTGAAGCAACCATTTGTAAACACAACTCACCGCAAAAATTTTTAACAAAGTTTTCATGTAGAGCTTTCGAATACCAAAGGAGACTCCAAAAATAGCGGGGACTATGATGAAAACAAGGAGGAGGGTGAAGAGGACAGTCAGGGAGATGCCCAGGAGGTTGACAATCAGGCTATCAAAAGGCAGCAGCAGGAACATGGTGGAGGATCCAGGCCAGGCTGACGCCTCCTCCCCAAGAACAAAGCGCAGCCTTCAGACGGCCCTCTCAAGACAGCAGCAGCCTGGGGAAGGAAGCGAGTCCCCAGCAGCGAGCAGACTCCATTCCAAAGTTCACACCATTCAACGGCTTGGGAGGAGAATGGTAACAAAAAGAGCCACACACAGCAGGCAGCCCGAAAACACTGGATCTCCTGGAACAGATGGGCTCTGGAGGTGAGCAAGGCAGGACCAATCTTCACTTATGAGCATTCGAGTCCAGGCTGCCTTTCTGTGACTGAGCAGTGAGGAGGGATCTGTGCTCTGCCACCTTTCTACGGCTTCCAGAAGTTTTACTTTATTTTCCTGCCCAAGAGCATTCAGCAGATAAATCTGTCTTGAAGATTCGTCATTGCCAGAAGTACCAAGAAGAGTTCAACTTGATGCCAGAAAAATCCTGATTAACTCCTGTGGTTGGGGGAGGGGGTGTGTGTGACTGCTGGCACTTCACACAGAAGGCTACTGAACTTGAATATGTGGAAATTAAATAATTGTTTTACTTAAAATTCCTTCATAAGCTGAAAATTGTGTTCATTGTAGAGAGTTCATATCTGGCCCCATTCTTCCTCTAGAGAGGCTTCCTGGTGCACGCTGCTTCCAGGGCCCTCCTACCTGGAGAGCTACAGTCTTTGCCAGTAGGACACAGATGCTGGCACAGAATGTCTCATACTGCCTGCGGTGAGTGAAATTCCAGACGCTCCTGGCATTGGTCTCCTCTGGATATTCTTCTCCCTAAGGTCCCCTTTCTCAGCGGTGACCCGAGTTCTTGGCAATAAGTTGCTTACATGCTGCCAAAGCTAGAGGTGGAAACAGAAACACTGTCAGTCACACAAACATATTGATGTTTGGGGGGTAGGGGACTGTTTTAGGGTAAACCCAGGGTCAGTGCCAGCTTCTCAAGGCATCAAGGTCAAAGAGACTAGGCAGAGCAACAGGTAGCAGACACAAATGTGGGAGGAAAACACACAGAGATTTCATACAGTTTTCAACTCCAATGGTATGACCTGTGGCCGCTCAAAAGTAAATTTCTCTTTTACCTGTCCCCCAGAGTTCTTGTCTAGGTACAGTCATTATTACCAGCTTCATATTCTTCCCACTATCCTATGCTTATACAAGTAAATCATAATGGATCTTTTCTATCCCCAACCCCTCAACCTGGCAACAGTAATGATGGTCTACTATGAACACTGTTCTTCACCTTGCTTTGTGTTTTGATTTTAGCCTAACATATCATGGAAGTGTGTTTAATCACTCTTGCCCCCTCACTTTTTACAGGTATACAGTTTTTAACTGTAAGAATGTACCATGTTTTCGTTAACTGGTTTTCTGAGGTTGGACCCCAAAGTTTCCATTTTTGTGTTGCTATAAATAATGTAATAAATAATCATGTGAATACATGATTTAGCACACAAAATGAATAAGCAAATATATTTTCAGGATAAAATCCTAGAAAGGAAATTGCAGGGGAAAAGGACATACATAGTTTTAATTTTACAAGACAATGTCACATTTCTACAGAGATTAAACTCCTCTAGCCTATGTCCCCACACTGGCCACTCTGGTTTTTTAAACTACTTTTTGGAGCAGTTTTGGGTTCACAACAAAATTAAGAAGGAAGTACAAAGATTTCTTTTATACCTCTTTATGCTGAATGAATGAAGCCAGTCAGGCACACAAAAAAGCCTATTTTATGGTTCTATTTATATGAAATATCCAGAATAGGTAAATCTACAGACAGAACTCCTGGTTGCAAGGAGTTGAGGGAGGGGAAAATGGGGGCCAACTGCTTAATACACTTGGGGTTTCCTTCTGGAGTGAAGACAATGCTGTGGAAGTAGATAGCGTTGGTGGTTGTGTAACACTGTAAATGCCACTAAATTTTTCACCTTAAAATGGTTAATTTTATGTCAAGTTCACCTTAATTTTTAAAAATGTAAAATAATGATTTTTATATGAGACATACATAAAAAATATACATATGTAACGTGACATAGGCACTCCCATACCTATGTCATGAGCCTTATAAAAACAGACCATTGCTGGATTTGGCCCAGAGGTCATGATGGTTTGCCAACCCCTGAACTAGGTGAAGACATTAGTTGACTGCTTAAAAGTGTTTGCTTTAGTTGATTGCTGATGGTTTGCTTTAGTTGATTAGTTGATTGTTTAAAAATGCTTGCCCCCACACATGTAACAGCCTCCCCCGTTATCAATATCCCCCAGCAGAGGACTACATTTGTTATAATTTATGAATCTACGTTAGCACATCATAATCACCCAAAGTCCATAGTTTACATTACGATTCACTCTTGGTATACATTCTATGGGTTTAGACAAAGGTATAATGATATGTGTATCCACCATTACAGTACTATACAGAATATTTTCACTGCCCCAAAATCCTGTGTTTTGATTATTCACCCTTCCCTAGTAATCAATAATCTTTTCACTGTCTCCACAGTTTAGCTTTTTCCAGAATATAGTTGGAATCAGACAGTATGTACCCTTTTTAGATCGGCTTCTTTCACTTAATATAGTCACTCCCTTTTAAAATTCCACTATTTCAAATATCTTACAAAAGGATGCCAGCTTTATATTCCTCACCCCTAACCACAATTTACCAATACAAGTCCTGAACTTGGGAGCATCCTAACAAGTCCCTCTGACAATCATTTTGGCCTCATACATATCAACTTCTGGCTCTATTCCAACATATTAAGAAGATCAAGAATAAAGGAAAGGTTACTAACTTTAAATTTTGTGCAATGCTTTACAGAATTCAAAGCCCTTTCACATGCAACATCACAACCTGTCAACACACATTTCCAGTTTTACCATTAGGAAATCAAGCAAGGTAGACACACACCCAGTTCTCTGACTCCTAACCCATCACTACTCCCATGATATTCCCAAACATCAAATGATTAAAAGACATGATAGTTCAGTGGCACCAAGTCACAAATACTACTTCCTGCATTTGATCCTCGATATCTTCCACATTCTTGTCACCATTATTATTGCCAACACTTACCAAATACTAACATCATAACGGACATTGAGCTAATATAATAGGCATTTTATATATATCCCCACTTAATTCTCACAACACCCCTGTGGTGGAGTTATCATTACCACTGCTATATACAGGTGAGGAAACTGAGGCTTAGAGGATGAAATAAGTTACCCAGGATCACACAGCCAGGAGGCGGTGGAGTAGGAATTTGGACACGTGGATCTGTCTCAGAGCCCGGCTCTTCACCCACTGTGCTCTCCGTCTCCCAGACCACCCTGAGACCCACGAACACGTCCTTCATGCCAGTCCTGCTCTACGGAACTGCTTGTGATCAGACAAAAACCACAAGGCCAACCAGGGCTCATGCATCAGAATTTGGTGTTCTTCTCAGAATCCAAGGTACAAACCTGCTTTCATTTTTATAAACTAGCCAAACTGATTATACATGCCAGATTTCTAACTGCATCCCAACAGAGGTTCAGGAAATTAGACGTATTTCTGAGACAACTTAATTTGCTGAGTCCTGGTATTCCTTAAACCCGTCTAATTCCAGCTGAATTCTTAGGCCACACAGCTTGGTCCCCTTCTCCCACTCCTCACACCCTTGGCCAGCACTCCCATGGGAAAGACGCAGCGTGATCCCTCCGCCCCACTAGACAGCTGCTGCCACACTGGCCGCAGTTACCTGGAGTGCCATGAACCCAAGGTGACTGGACAGTAGGGTCACTTTGACTTCCTATGCCAGAGTTTGTCTGGATCACAATCATTTGAGAATTTCTAAAATTATGCTGGCTGCATGTCCCAAAAATACTAAAGCAAACACTTTTAAGAAGTCAACTAATGTCTTCACCTGGTTCAGGAGTTGGCAAACCATCATGACCTCTGGGCCAAATCCAGCAACAGTCTGTATAAGGTTCACGACTTAGGCATGGTTTTTACGTTTTTAAAGAGTTGTAAAAACAAAGAATATGTGACAGATCAGGACCTGCCAAGCCTAAAAGATTTACTGTATGATCCTCTACGAAAGTAAAGAGTTTGCTGACCCATGATCCAGCTGCTCTTCCTCCTCAGAAAGGTAGCGAACTTCCCCTTGTCCCACCCCACCCTGCCTCCTTGTTTACCAGTGCCAGACTCCAGAACAGAGATCAGTAAAACCAGCCAAACAGGTTATCTTGCCAACACTAAACAATCCTCATATTAATTCTTAGGAGTAGAGAAAACAGTGGCAGCTTTAAGGTATAATCAATCGTACCTTAAAGCCCCCTTAACACAGTCTTTGATCTCGGGATATATCAGAAAGTCGCTCATATCAGAACTCAATCACACCACAATTTCTAGATAACTGCTCATTTAGGAAAGAATTTCACTTTGTCCCAAGTAAATATAACTATGATTCCTTAAGCATGAGGCAAAGGAAGACATTAACCACTATTTCCAAAGAATATGTATTCATTCTCTTCTGTAGCTTGTGGCCAAACTCAATGAGTCATTTGGACCAAAGTTCCCCCAACAGCCCAAATGGTCCAAAGAAAAACATAAGAACCAGCTAGTTCTGACCCTTTTAGGGCGGAAGATAGCTTTACTCTAGAGGTGTGATAGGGCCCACTGCTAAGGTCTTCAACCCTCTGGGTAATTCTGTGTACCTCAGTTTTCAGACTGACCAGTTCATGCATTTAACAGAGTGTTTGCTGGGCACATACTGTGTGCCACACATTAAGTTAGGGTTAGATACTTAGTGAAGAACAAGTACGCCTAGAGACAAGTATTAAGCAAATAAGTGTGCATGAAGTCATAATTTCATACAATGATGATTAATAAGGAAGAGAGTCCTGGAAAAAATTACAGAGGGAACTTACACATTTAAATTGGGGAATCTAAACCAATTCTGACCAAATCACAAGGCTGGACAATTATGATTCTAACTGCAGAACCAAATACTTCTTTTCAGTTAGCTTTCTGTGACACGTTCTACTTCAAGAGACCATGACTACTAAACGATGTCCAGAGAGATGCCACGCACCAACTCAAAACAAGAAAGATCTGGCATTTTATTACTTAGGTTATATACAGGAATAATGCATTTTTAAAGCATACGAAGCAGAATGTCTGTCACATATGACGTCTGAATAAATGGCATGAGTTACCATTTCAGTATGATCAGAAGAAACCCAGAGTACTGTCTTCAGTTCTTGGCACCAAACTTTAAGAGGGCTAGATGGAGAGGAAATCATTTCAAAGTATGTCACAAAACACACAAGCCAAGAAATACTACGTGCCTAGCAAGAACCAAGTGTTCAATAAAAAGGCTACCTGTAAAGTACAGAAATATGAATTAAAACTACTGTAAGACGGCAGGAAAAAATATTTTATAAACAACAGTATCGGCAAAAATGAGAAGATACCAATTACTGCTGGTTAGAGTGTAAAATGGTACAATCTTTACAGGGAAGAATTTAGCAATCACCATCAAAATTTTAAAGGCACATATATAACCTTAGTTGCAGCAATTCTACTTCTAAAAATTTATTCTAAAGATAAATTAGAACAGTGGTTTTCAACCAGGGCTGGTTTTTTCACTCCTCGTGGAACATTTGGTAGTGCCAAACATCCTGTCGTGTACGGGCCAGCTCTGACAACAAAGAATTATCAGCCCCTTGCCCTCACCATTCACTCGGCTGGGCATCACGCCTGGGTTGCGGGTTTGGTCCCTGGTTGGGGAGCATCTGAGAGGCAACCGCTCACATTGATGTTTCTCTCCCTCTTTCTTCCTCCTTTCCCCTCACT